GGAATTGAAGTGCTGGAAAGTTAAAGAACTGGAAAGAAATATAAAGTAAATAAACTAGTTTCTGGATCTGAGTCTGAGTCCTTCATTCTGAGGCCTTTTCTTTTATTTATACTCTCCAATGATAACCGTCAAAGTGGATTTCCAACCATCGAAATGTTCTCCTACAATTACTGATCATGCTCTCTCGCAGTTAATCTCACTATGCCATTTTTGCAGTTGGGCTTCCATCCTGAATTTGAATTTCAATTTGTGAGTAACCGTTGGGCCACGTCATTTTGCGCCTTCTAGCTGTTCCAGTGCTACGCAAACCCATTATTACCAATATGAACCTCCACGTGTCTGTTGCTGGTTGGAGACTTGTATTAATTCCCCAACTTATCATTTTCACGCCACGTGTTAAACTGTGATTGGTTTATACAAAATATATAGCCAACATATAAAAAATCAAAGAAAGAAAAAATATCTTTAAGTGCATTGCGTTTTGAGAGAAGTGGAAAAGAAAAGAGATAATTTTTTCTTTTTTTTTTCCAGAAATCTTAGTGCCTTGAATTGAGCTATCTCAAATGGCTCAAATTTGTGTTCATCGATTGATCGACCAGATGACTAGGTGAAACACTTGTCTGGTACGATTGTCACCTTATCGATCGCGGCTGTTAGTTTTTTTGTCAGACGACCGACAAAATGAAAGACAAATTCAAATTTAACGTATGTAGCATTGCTGTTTTATTTATATATATATATATATATATATAATTTTTACCCCCAAAATAATATCCTTTCAGAGGACGTACTACATGTAATACATTATTGAGAGGGAAAATAACAGTACAGTTAGATAGTTAAAAAATATTACAAATTAGTAAAAAAAAAATTATATTTTAATAATTAAAATATTATAATTTTTTATAATTTTATAACTTTTTTTTTTGGGTGCCATCACTATGCAGTTCTTTCCCCTTATTGCAAAGTCAAAAATTGAATTTGAATTTTGGGCAAATTATACTAATAGTCCCTATACTTTACCTCTTGTGTTACTTTGGTTTCTGTGTTTTCAATTTGCTCGATTTTGACCCTCAATTTTTAATTTCGTTTCATTTTGGTCCAATCAATAACCTCTGTTAAAAAATTTAACAGAAAATAGTCATGTGCACAACATGTGATCAACTTTGAGGGGCAAAACAGACATTTCAATCCTAACATTCTTTATTCCATCTCTGCAACACCCTTTGCTTTTTCCCCCTTCCTCCACCGTCTATCAGCAATCTCATTCCACCACCGCCACTGCTAAACAATGCAAACAACACCTTCTTCTATCTCAACCCCGACACCACCTATTTTGAATTACCGACAGGCCAAATCCATGGGTATGTGTTCCAAGCTTTGGATGAGTTAGGGAAGCCTCACTGTTTGGGTGGTGATTACTTCGAAATCGACCTCTCTGGCGATCGATGGAAGTCTCAACCTCCGATCAAAGATTTGGGCAATGGAACCTACTATTTTTCTCTCCAAATTCACCCAGATTTCACTGGAGATTACAATCTCACTATAATCTTACTCTTCAGACACTACGAGGGTCTGAAATTTTCTCCACAAAGATTCACAATTGACAAACAAATTCACAAAATCCCACTCAAGTTCTTCAAATCAATGGCTGAATTGCAAGAAAGTGGGATATATAACAAGTCTGATTTTTCGAGAAACTTGTGGTCTGGTCGGTAGACTCGCCATGGGAAGAACGGTAGTTGCTGGGTTGACAGCGAAGGTCAATTCAAATGCTTCGAACAAACATACTCATGTCAGGGTCCATGGTGTCATGGAAATTTGGGAGTTTTGAAGAGCAATGGTTGGACCTATTCGACCTATTGCTCGTTTCGATTGTTTTCAGGGGAATCAACTTGGGATTGTTTACAGGGTCAGTGGATTTTCTTCTGGGGAGACTCGAATCACTACGATACGATTCGAAACATGCTTCAATTCATACTCAATGCGGAGGACATCAAAGTGGTTATGAGGAGATTTGATATGAACATTACGAACTCGAAATAATCATCACAAGTTGTTCAGATTACGAGCATTTTCGATGGCCACCCAAACGCATCTAGGAATCACCAGGGCTTGAATTCGCTCAAAGACGATGGGTATATAGAGCTTTTGAAGCACTACTTTTCTGGGGAAAAAGTTCCCGATTCTAGTCTAGCCATGACAGTCGCCCACATTATTTTCCTCTTTCAGCCTAACCAATCTCTCTCTCTTTCTCTCTCTCTCTCTCCATCCCCTAGCCTCCTGCCGTCTTGTTTCCCTAGCCTCCATTAGCAACTTCTCACCTCATTTCCTCTTTCTTACCAATAGTAGTGAACCCAGAATCATCGTTGTTTGGAACAAGCAATCTCTGTAGAGACTTGACTTTATCATCAAGTCCATGAACCTTGGTTTTAGTGGTGGAGGAAGGCAATGGTGGTAGATAATTTTGTTGCAGAGAGTCCAAGAGGAAGAAGATGATGAAACAAGGAAAGGGTAGTGAAATGTCCATATTGCCCTTGAAAAAGGGTCATGTGCGTCTTACGTGCTTGTTTTCCGTCAACAATTTTAATCGGTGTTAACAATTGGACTAAAATGATACAAAATAAAAAATTGAGCATCAAAATCAAACAAATTAAAATTACAATGACCAAAATAACACAAGAAGTAAAATACAAGAACTGTTAGTATAATTTACTCTTGAATGTTAGTGCATTAGGAAAGAATGACATAGAACTTAGAACACTTTTCTGCTTGTGTAATTCTATACATGAGAATGAGAAGGAAAAGTATTTAGTAATAAATTATTATCTTTTTTATAATAAAATTTTATCTAAAAAAATTTTGACAAAAAATTATTTGATCTTTAAATATACATCTATTAACATCATTTTCAAAAATTGTCTATAAAAGTCTTTTTCTTAAGGACGGTCTTTTTATGATAACTCACATATTAAAATTGGCCTCTTAATATTTTTTTAAAATAAATTTTTTACTTTTAGAAATGATTTGTTTGTTGATTCCTTATATTATAGGATATTTTAAGAAAATGGTTAAAAATTAATTTTTGATTTTTAATCAAACTTTTAGTTTTTTTAGAAATGTGATAATAAAAAAAATTATTTTCAACTTTTTTAATTAATATTTATTTAGGATGTCACATCATAATAAAATAACTAAACTATCCCCACTTGATATAGAAAATTTATATTTTCACCCATGTAAATATAAAAAAAGATAAAGGATATAATTGTAATTTTGGTCTCTTTTAACAAACTGATTAAAAATCTACTTCTAACTTTTAACCTATTTAAAGATAAAATAAATTAAAAAAAATTTAAAAAATCAATTTTTAACCAATTTTCTAAAACAATGCCAACTTAACTTTTTTTTTTTTTATCAAACAAGTTACAAACGTTGCTTTTTACTGGACACTATTGCACTGTGCTACCCACCGACAGCACTTTATAGCTTTACCAAACCTTTTATTAGCTGTCTCTCTGTTCCAAGCAGGGATGGACCAACTAATGTTCAAAAAATAATGTTATAATAATTATAATGATATATTATAGCGTTTGTATTATTTTATATATTATAATTATACTATTAGTTTAAAAATAATTTTGATACTCCAAATTTCATGGTTGAAATGAAGATTTACATTACTACCAATGTTTTATAAATAATTCAGATCCACAAATCTTAATTTTCAGTTAAAAAACAATTAACAAAAATTATAGTCCTTAGGATAACATATTAATTATAGATAATTAATTTTTATATTTTCACATTTTGCAATAAAATAAAATAAAATAAAATAAAATGAAAGGAAAGGAATTATTTGTTGAATTTTGTAGGATGGACTTGTCATATAACTCTTACAGCAAGGAACACAAAATTATTTTTAAAAGAAAAATGATAAAGTATAATTAAAAAAATGCATCAAAGTCTAAGCTATTTGTAAAGGAGACAAACTTAATTGGTGGCTTAAAATTTTTATTTTTATGTATGTCAAATGAATTTTTATATTTTTAAATTACCCATCATTATTTTTTAAAAACTCACCTATAATTTCATAACCACTTGATAATTAATCTACAAAATAATTATTATTAATAACTGCTACTTAAATTTTTTAAATTTTATTTTATCAACATATTATACAAATAATTTCTACTTTACTTATTTATGCATTACACAAATATTTACAAGTAGTATAATATAAGTTTAGTTTTTTTTCAAGTTCAAATATAAACTTAAGCGAATTTGAAGGTTCATGATACCTATTAAAGGTTATGTTTTGATGATTTAAATTATTTTATTTTGTAAAGTTTTACGTGTATATTATTTATTTTATTATATTTATCTCTAAAAAAATGAATAGACCATCTTTAAAAATATAATAATACTTTTAACTCAAATTTGCATGACTCAAATATCTCAAAATAATATCATTTTAAAAATAAAATAACGTCATTATAATACATTTAAGGAAAATTTACCCATAAGTCCTAGTTTTTGAAACGTTGAACTATTTAGTCCTAAAAGTTTTCTTATGCTCCATTTAGTCTCATTTTTACATCAACATGATGTGAATGATGTAAATGATCTGATGTTTCATTCTATAATTTCAAAATTTATTGAAATCTGATGAACATTAGATGTTTTTCATCCTATATTTTCAAACATTATTGAAATTTGATGAACATTAGATGTTTGAAATTCAATGTTTGTAACATGACTCTGATGTTATTAACATTGTATCTGATGTTATTAACATTGTAATGAGACCTTTCAGTCTATAAAAAAACTTTTAAAACTAAACAATACATAAGTTATTAATTTGAGATTTATTGGTGCATCCCCCTACATTTAAACCATTCAAATAACACAACTTCCAGCAATTAAACATTTTTCTTAAAACATGTTCCAATCAAAATTCTATTTATAGCGGCGCCGCTGATTTGTTATTTCCCCAAGCATATTCCAAACTAATATGCGTTTGTGGTTCTCCATTTCGAAGTTGCGCTTGTGCATCCAATGAGGAGAGAGTGAGAGAGCGCTTCCTCCCTTATCCTCTTCTTCTTTCTGATCCATGTGTTCCCATTAGATGAGAGAGAGCGAGTGAAAAAGGAGTAAGAGGGAGAGGGAAATAGACTAACAAGAAATTGTGGGAATGGGTCGATTGGGAAGGAATTCCTTTGGGTATTGCCAAACGAAATCCTTTCCTAAACCACCCATTCCTCTGATTTCTTGATGTTTTTCTCTCTCCCTTTCTTGTCCTGGTCCTATATCCAGTCATCCCAATCATCTTCTTCTCCTTCTTCTTTTCTCTAATTGCTACTCTTGCTTTGTTTTATTCATATTGTTTTTCACCTTTCTTTGCTGTTCTTGAAATCGATTGGTTTTGTGCTTTTTATGTTGTCATATTTTTTGTTTCTGGAAAAAAAAAAAATAAGAACATTTTATTGGGTTTGAAAAGTGAGGTTTTATTACTTTGATCAGCAGAAAGAAAAGAAAAAGAAAAAGAAAAGAAAAAGAAAAAGAAATTCTGAGATCTAAAAGGAAAAAGAATTAAAATCTGAGATCTAGTTTTAGTGTGTTCAGTGAAGGTATGTTTACTCTTCTTCCTTTTGTATTTTGTTCTTCTGTTTGTTCATGTCACATCTTTTGATCTGAAATCTCAAATATGAATACAAGTTACCCTAATATTTCGTAGTGGTTTGATTTTCAATTTTTCTTCCCTTTGATAGGATTTTAAGTTGTTATATGGAAATATGATGGGAGATTTTTGCAATTGAACCAACTAAGATCTAACTCTTGTTTTGTGTTGACCTTATTGTATCTATTGTATGATGAAAAGTAGAGATTTTATTTGACAGTAGATCTGAATTTCTTCCACATGCCCTGTTCTTTGAAGCATGCTTTGAATCATTTCACTTGGATTCAGTTAAAATAGCAAGTCATTTATTTATGTTTCATGGGATCGACTTTGAAGAACTCAATAAGGTATAGCTATAGTCAAAAGCTAAGTCATAAGGTATCTTTATGTTTAGATCTGATTTTAACCCCCATGTGTTGAATTCTATTTCCTTCAAATTCACCCATTTTAGACCTTGTGGGATAAAGTTATAGACTAATCCATCATTCTTGAGATTTCAAACAATATCCTTTGGTGGGATAGATGAGGTAAACTAACCTAGAAAATAAATTTGGTGGTAGTGTTGGTTAATGAAAACTCAAGCCAAATAGGAAAGCATCTTGTATGGTAAAGGCCATTTCATGCCATCAAATAAGCCCCCCTTCAAACTTTTCCGTATGAATGATTTTGTACTTGGGTGATGGCATTTGGTTGGTATGTGGAAGTAATCTTTGGTGCCCATTTAACTTGCACACCTCGATGGCCTACTCTTTCTTTTCACCTTGGAAAAAGTTGTGTGAAACCATGTGATCACTGAAAGGAACATGTGCAAATCGCATCACTTTTTTTCATTTGGTGAAAACCGTGTAAAGTTTTCTTGAAGTGTTTCAAATAAGTGGCATATTTTAGGCAAATGCATAATGGATTATCTTTTGACCTCTCTTTTGTGTCCTCCAAATTTTTTCATTGCATAAACATATATGTAGAGCAATGTTATTCTCAGAGCTGTTTTGTTGCTTCCATGTCAATTCCAAATAGATTATTCATTAGCTAAAAATAGGATGGTCATGGAAGCAACAAAACAAGCTCTGCCAATATGATTATGCCTCACTTTATGTTCCACCTTTTTTGTGGAATCAGTTTTCACCATGGTTTTAAATAATGGTGTTAGGACATGTATCCAAATCGGTGATGCGATCATATATCGGTCAATATCAAATAGTATCGGTTGATATATTGATGAATAATGGTATCGGAGGTCCAAAATTCTGATACATAACATTGGATATTTTAAACCCTAGTTCGAACAGTATCAACTCTTAAATGTGGATTTTTTCCATATATGGTTGTTTCCACATTTATTAAATCACTGCAGAAAAGGCTGCTGATGTTTGAAATCTGTAGGTTAAAATAAAATAAATTATTTAGTGGTCCGGGATCATCATGTTAGCTTTGGTTCCGATCACTCATGATTGGTTCCATAAGAAAAAATGGGACTTGAGTTTCACTTTTTTTTTTTTTTTTTTTTTTTTTTTTTTATATGTGGCCGATCATGAGTGGTTTGAGACCAAAACTGATGTGGTGGTCCGGGACCACTGAATAATTACTCCTTAAATAGTAAAATAATTTAATTACAATCTTCATTTGCAGTGTTCATAGTTTTCGGCCGTAAATCATTACATATATGCCCTTGTTTGTGGTAATGCTCATAGCAAGTATGTGTTTGGATCCAGTTTTGCTTCCTCTTTCTTCTATTGGTATAGAAGTCTGTATGCAGCAAGTGTTTTCAAAAGTGGAGCAATCTTTCGATTGTTTTAGTTGTTGCAAGATACATCAAAAGCATTCTATAGGAATGATTGAACATGCAATTTAGATTACGGTTGTGCTACTTGCACAAAGATAGAATACAAAATTTTTTCACATAATAGAGATAAGATGTGGGGTTATGGGGTTCACATGTGATCTACACATGTGGGGCTCACCTCTTTTGTCTCACTTCTGTAAAAGTTTTTGTGTTTTATTTCTGTGCAAGTAAATTTTTTAAATAGGTAAAAATAACATTAAAAATAATATAATAAAAAAATTGAATGGGAGTATATATATATATGTGTATGTATATTTTGTCAGCAAGGGGGAAAGTATTGTCTCTATAATTTGTTTGTTTGTTTCTACCTAGTTATGACATACTGTGACAGGGTTGTCATTTGTTCGGTGCTTTGAGTTGTGCCCCTAGCATTTTTCAATTCTGTATCTAGGACACTGGCATTAACTAGTAGTATAGTCTAACTGTGTTTTGTTAGGCAGCATGACAGAATAATGTACAGTTTTTTTCTATTTCCATTATTTTTACGCAATATCGCAGGATTCGACTACGAGACCATTGCAGTTCATGGATTGATATCGGTGGAACTTTTGGTTTGGTTATGGCCTCATCTTGGTTCTTAGATGGAAAGGTAAACAATTGATCTTTGTTATAGAAATGCTAGAATGTTGAAATTTTTTTGGATGAACAGCATTGTCCATGATGTGATTTTTAGTGGTGCTTTTCATCTTTTTAATTTGTTTTTATAATTTTTTTTTTATGTAGTATCGATAAAAAGAAGTGTGTTGAATCCTTCCTTCTGCGTTGGATTGAGAAGTTCTTTGATCCCGTAAAAGAATCTAATTAAAAAAGGAGAAGATTGTCTCTTTTCGCAGACTGTCCGATGCTAGTCTTAACTGCTGATTAAAGAAATGAAGGGCGTTTTGGCTTTGAATTGGCGGTAGTTTGATGATGCTTCGCCCAGCAATGATGATGTAGCAGTCGTAGAGGCCAGGGTTCTCTTTTCCTTCCTTTGATGGCTTCTTTCCTTATATTCCTGTCCAGTCTTGTATTCTCTGAAAGAAGATCTCGAAGGGTTCCACTTCAATCTCCCTCTTTTGGTCAATCTTAAGGCAGAGGATATCAACTGAAGATAGTCCCCCCACTTGGTGGGCTGCTGATGAGAACTCAAATTTCTATTTATTCTCTTATATGAGAAAAAAAAAATGTTATGTAATATGGATTTTGAATTACCTTTCAATGGATGTTGAAGCACTTACTTACAAATTATGGAAAAATTAAAAAAATTATATTAGAAATGGGAAGTTCAATTTTAATTGCAATGACATGGAATTGTTAAAAAATTAGACAAATATTTTCCCTTTGTAGTTTGTCTGTTTGTTTGTTTTTTTCCTTTGTTTATGACACACTTTGTTTTTTGATGGGATTCGAAGACGAGCTAATTGATCTAGTTTTTGCACCTTTATTGAGGTGCAACCATAATATGGTGTTTTCAAATCCTAAATCAATCAACCACACAAAACTAGTCTTTGAAAATCTTCAAATTAATTGCATTTCTATGTTTACAATTTTCTCATACTCATGAAGAGAGAATGACGTGCATCTATTTCCATTTATATACTCAATTGTATTATTTTGCTTGCTACTGCTGAAATTTTCTCTCTCCTATTTTCTCATCAGTAGGCTTTCCTTGCTTTTGTATAATTTGATCCAAGTCTCTACTTTAGTTGTTGGCAAGTACCAAATTATGTATAGCACTGATAGGACACAATTTTCCAACTAGCGAGCAAATTACAATTCTCTCATCCCTACAATTGTGAGCTCCTCGTGCAGGTATGTGAGAGGACTGAATTGTTCGATGCTTTGTTTTTGTTGTTGTGTCTCTAGCATTTTTCAATTATAGCCCGACTGTGTGAGCCACTATGATAGTATAGTAGTATTCCTGATTTTGCCAGGGTAGTCTAGTATCTAATGCCTTTTTCACTCAGGTTGGAGCCTGCAATTTTTCAGTGTGCTGGGTGAAATATGCCTACTTGCTTCCATTTCCATGTCTGAAATCTTGGAGAACCACATTAAGATGTACACACATGGAGTTCCTGATCAATGAAATTATGCAAAAAAAGATGGTTGGGGCTGATTTTATTTCTCATTTAGCTGATGAAAGCGGATTAAACTGATTCCACTCATCTCTTGATTGTTACTCCTATTGTTGGTCTGATGTTACAATGCTAGTATGTTGATCAAACTATATAAATTGTGAAATCCGAAATGACAGCCATTTAACCATGGAGATTTTTCTTTAAAGCATTTAAATATATTATTTAATTTTCTCAAATATAAAAAGATTAAAATATTATACTTAAATTTTTATTTTCACTTTTTTTTTAAGTATCATTTAACTCTCATTATTTATAAATCATTATGCCTAATAATAATATATCATATTATTTCTCATTTTTATTTTAATTGTTCTTAAAATTAACCCTCCACCTTCTCAGATCCACAACAATCCTCTTTTGCCTCCCCAACGCCCCAACCCCCGATGCTAGTCCCTTTGCCCTCCCCATCTCTCAACGCACCCCTCATTCCTTCATCCACCCCTGACTCCACCTGTGCCTCTTCTCTCCTTATCTTCATCACCTTCTGTAGATACTACTACATCTATGGATATGTACTACACGCGTGTGAAGTAGTTGCACAAATCACAACACTTATTAGACCCGTTTGAGAAATGATTATTTTATTTGATTTTTTAATTTCTTACGACAAAAATTAGAGGGTGATGAGGGTGATGTGACAATACAAAGTATTTTTTTGATTATGAACATAACCCTCTCAAACTGGGCCTAAGTTTACAATTAAATTTTGACAGTTAAATAAAGATATTTATGAGAGGGTAATTTTTTTTTTTTAAATGTGAATATTATACATTTTATATAATAGTATAAATTATAATGAGTTGGTTTTTAATAAGTCAACTCATTATGGTCCTGTTTGGTAAGGCTTATTTCCAACTTATTTTAGTTTTTAACTTAATTTAAGTTATTTTGATGTGTTTGGTTCAGCTTAACGATACAGCTTATAATTTTTTGTAAGTCAAAAATCAACTTATTCTTTGAGTAGGAAAGGATAACCTTAATTTATAAGTCAAAAATCAACTTATGTTCACAGCTATAAACTATAAGTTGTTAGGCTATAAGTTATAATCACTTTCCCACAGCTCTACCAAACGGGTCATATGAGTGACTTCAATTTGGAGTGACTGTCGTGCTGGGGGCACATCAGTCACTGTTGTGCAGTTAAATGAGTTCATTTAGATAATTTGAACCGTTTAATATTAGAATACACTAAGTAGAATATACCTGTAAAAAATTAAGTTAATCAGATGTCGTTTACCTTTTCATCCACTCACATTTGTATTTGCAAAAATAAACAACAATTGTAATTTAAAGTATTAAAATAAATACAAATATGAATAGATGAAAGAGTAAACGATATTCGATTAATTTAATTTTTTGCAAGTATGTTATACTTGATGTATTCTAAAATATGAACGACTAGAATTATGAAAATAGATTCCGAAATGAGTCTATTTAACTGCACAACAGTGATCTCGCACAGTAACCACCCCTAATCCGAGTAACTTACATGCTATTGACATGTTCATTTTCGGTCAACAATGCTAATTGCGGTTTTTTATTACACCAGATTGATACAAAAATAAAAAATTAAGATTAAAATTAAATTAATTAAAATAACATAAAAAAATAAAATATAAAGACTATTATATTGTAATTTGCTATTCTGTAATGGTTTGTCATTGTCAAGCATTAATCGTATCTCACACTCAAAAGACTTGGATCTCCAATGAACACAAGATATAAAAGTATTGTTTATAATTGAAGGTGATTGCCTAAGGCAATTGTCTTAGTTGTCACCTCAAATAATATACAAAATAATGTGATCAAAAGAATTAATAATTGTAACATTTTTTTCCCATCCCTATAGTATGATTTGGAAAGTAGGTTAACTTTTTAATTTTTTTTTTTTTTCTTTTTTTTATTATTTAATGTAAAAGGGGATGTAATTTAAAATTGATAAAAAATTAACTTTTAATTTTTTTGGTCTACCATGAGCAAAAACAGAGGTCATTAGTGTTACGTGTTATTATTAGGAATTTTAAAAAATTTATCAAATATCTCGTATGAGTATTGAATTACAGAAAGAAAAATATTTAATAACTTGAATTTGTGTGATTCGAATGGCTCAAATTTATTAAAACGACATCGTTTTACATCTAAAATAACGACGTTTTAAGACATTCGAGTAATTTGAGCCATGAAAATTCGGGCTACTAAACATTATTGTTACAGAAGACTCATATGATATAAGTCCTACATGAGAATAAGACATTTGATAAAAATTCTGATGAAAATTTTAGAATCTCTACATTTTTCATAAAAGTAATGATAGGAATCATAAAAAAAATATCATGAAAATAATCATAAAAGATCATCTACCTTTAGATTACTCATAGGGTGTGTTTGATTGGACGGACTGGATAAGGGGGATTAGAATCCATCAGACTTGAGTCATGGGACTGTGAATCCCTCAGACTATTTGCTTATTAATATATGGGGTGTTTGGAATGGACTAAAATAGTCCATCTCAAGCTAAAACAATCAATAAAATAAAATATTACATCACATTATTTTCTTTATTTTTTTTACGTATTTTTTTATTATAAAAAGTTAAATAACTAATTAAAATAGTCCACTTCTAATCAGGCCCATATTTAGGCCTCGTTTGGAAATAGGCTATTTTAATAATTTTTTGGCTATTTGGCTAAAATATGAGCTAAAAAAAATTAGTATGTTTGG